GTTTCCTTTTGAAATTACGTAATTTGTGTAATGAACAAATTTCGGCTATGCACATTTTTTAAGTGAAATTTTATCTCTAGGGAAAATACAATACACATCAGATAACATTTTTTAGTAAAGTCAAAATCAGATAAATCTTTTTAATTAAGCAGCATTGTCAAGAAGCGAAGCGAAGCGGTTTCTCGTATTTTTCTTCGGAATTGGGCAAAAGAAAGAATCGCCAGATCCTCGCTCTCTCTTGGACTCGGCCAATTACGGTAACTCTCCTTCGTCTCCCTCTCTAGTTGAATTTGTTTGGGAAAGTTGTAATCTTTCTTCTTAATTTTTTTGCAAATTTCTTCTAATGGTGGTGATTGATCGTTGATGAATGATCTTGGCCTTCGTGTGCTTTATATAACTTACTTAGCTATTTGTCTAGGGTTTGTTTAGTGCGGGTAATTGGATTAAAGATCAGGACCCTCTACTAGACAAGAACAAAATTGAAAGCTGCTTTGTCTCTCTGCCTTGAGAGATATGATAGTCGCAGGCAAATTTATCTTCTCGAACGTTTTGAATGCTAAGTATGAGATAATGTGTGGAGTTGGGAGAAATCGAGACTAAAGTCCTCACTAAAAGTTGGTTGTTGAAATTTACTGTGAATTTTGGATGTGTTTCAGATATACTAACTCGAAAATTGATGTTACTAGCTCTGCTTCTTTGCGCCTTTCTCTGAGACTTTGACATACTGTTGACAGACACTCTTTTCCTTTTTATCTACATCTTTCAATGCGTCTTTTAAGCTTTGCCCCCAGCTTATGCTTCTTACTATGGTGTGCCTTTTTCTTCTGGCAAACAGATTTCAAACTACAGTTACCAAGATGGCCTACGAACTAACTGAGCAAAAGAGTAAATCTTTCTTCCCAAATTGTGCTTTTGCAGCCATTTTATAACTTTATTGTGCGGTTTCTGTCGTTTGGCACCGGTATTTTGTTACTTGTAAGCCTTTAGTCAGTGCGGTTTCTGTTGTATACTCATCCACTTCTCTTATTTCTTGCCCTATTATTATCGTCTCTTAACAGATTATGGTAGAGATTGTACTAGTTTTTCTTCAATCAAGCTGTTATATCTCTTCTATAGGAATAAAATCAGTAATAGAAAGCACAAACTTCGACATTTTTCTTCGGCTTATGGCATTCATTTCTCTTGAATTTTTGCAGAAGTTGGGTTGGGACTCTTCGGATTTGGTATATCCTTTACGTTTCTTGGTGTCATCTTGTACTTCGACAGAGGTTTGCTTGCTCTTGGAAACGTGAGAATTTCCTTGCTATTTCTAAGCTTTTTGTAGCCATTCCAATATCGAGTCCAACATTTGAATCTCATTTGGCTTTGTGTTCAGTTATTTTGGTTGATAGGTGTTGGACTTTTACTTGGTTGGCAGTCAACTTGGAGACTATTTACCAACGTTAATAACTTGAGGGTACGCGTAGAACTCGTGCTAATCTTTGTTAAGTGTATCTCTTGATGAACCTTTTGTAGTGACATATCAATTTGTTTTTCTTATTGCAGGGCACTGTCTGTTTCGTCATTGGAATCTTTCTTATATTTGTACGTTGGCCAATAATCGGAATTATCTTGGAGATATACGGTTGCATTGTCCTCTTCGGGTGAGAACATTTTCTTTTGTCTCACGTTGTTTCTTATCGATTTATTTTCATACAACTGTGCTTGTAAAATTGAAATATTAAGGCAGACTGAAATATGGTTCCAGAGGATCTTTTTCTTAGAGAATGATTATGATGACTTATATATCAATCAATTAGTTTATCATCTTCTTGCTTAAGGATTCAGCCTGTTGCTACGTCTAACTGACGTCACATGTACTATCATTGCAGGGGATTTTGGTCGACTGTGAAGGCATTCCTTTCACAGATTCCGTTTGTTGGATGGATACTACAATATCCTCTCATGGTAAGTAATCCTCGACAACACTAACATTCTCCTCTGATGCTCCTTCCTTCTTGCTTACATTTATTAGTCTTTTGTTTTGAAATGATCTGTTTTGCAGGTTATTGAGCAAGTTATACGAGGTTCTCGTTGAAAAGATCAATCTCAATGTCATGGCTCTTTCACAACATCAAAGCTTCTATAGAATTCCTAACTTTTTTCTTTTAGAAACAAAAGCAGAATCAAATGCGTGTGATTTGTTCTCTTTTTTTTTGGGACATGACACAGAGACTTTGCTCTGTTTTGTCTTTCACATTTCTAAATTTTTGTTTTATATATCCAAAAAGTAGCATATACCTTAATCTTGTCGTTAAACAAAATATTTGCAACTACAACTCAAATCTTCATTTGTTTCAAATAAGAAAATGTTACTGATATAGAAATGGAAAAATAAAAGTACTAAACCGAAAACAGAGTTATCGAGTTTCATGAAGGCCACAAAAGCATTTGAATTTCCTACTAGCTAAAAAAAGAGAGAGGAAGTTCTTACCAATTTTGCCATAATCATCAAAGTCGTAACCAGCTTTTGCTGCACATCATGGCGTTAGCAACTTTAGGTTTCAAAGAAAGAACAAACTCAGGAGGCTCTCTTTTGTCCGGAACATAAACATTGTACGAAGTTGCACGTGAGATTGGTATGGAGAGAATGTCACGAGCTACTCTAGATAGGATTGGATACCTTTGGCTCTCTTCCTTCCACCATTCCAATACTTTGAAGTCTTTGTTCCACTCCATAACTGGTTCCTTGAGATAAGAATCAAGTTCTGATTCTTGAAACTCTCTTGAACAACCTTCAAACTTGAGAAATTCTTTAAACAGAACAAAATCCTTGTATGCTTGTATTCTTGTATT